AGCAGACTTCGCTCCTTACCAATCGTATTGCGGCGAAACTCGTGTTCTCTCATTTGCGCCCACGAACATACCGACTTCCTCACCTCCTCTCAGGTTTTTTGTTAGGCTTTATAACACGGACCGCACCTTGCCAAACCCGTACTTGCTATACTCACTCACTCGCACCCTCCCTGCGACATCCCAGCCGCTCATCATTTCGAATCGCTAACCGCCCAGTCGTCTGCAGTATGCATCGCGAGTCGGACGGCGTGTGTGTTCCGCAGACTTTGCAGACGTTTTATTCATCGCACTCGGCTGCGCATTCTAGCATATTGCAGGCCGCAGTCTGCTATCAGATAAAAAAAGTCGCACAGTCTGCGCTAACGCTCCTCAACGCGACAAGCTCCGTCCCCCGTCATCTCTAGGCCTCTCGATCGGCCCATCCTGCCAGATCCGATGTGTCCTCTCGCCATTGCTGTTTCAACATCCCCTCCGCCCTCCCCTGGCCTTGGGCCCCGCGAATGTCCCCCCCTTCCCTCTCATCTGGTCGCTCGCTTACTTCACTCGTACCCCGCCCTCTCTCCTCTCCCCTCCCTCTGTCGGCCCTCCGCATCTCCCACATCTCCTGGAACGTGCTGTTTCTCCAAATTCCCCCTCTCATATCTAAACTTCGTTTCCCCACCAACTCTTGATCCTACCATTTTGCGCTCCACAACCATGCTGGTCTGGCCCCTGCATAGAATTGAATTATTGCAGAACAGCGACACTCCCAAAATACTCTCCTCCTTTTTCCTCCTCGTCCCCGTTGCATCTTTTTGCTTCCGCCCCTTCATTCACCGTACTCCCCCTCCTCACATAGTTTCCTCTTCGCCTCTTTCTCTGAGCGTCATGAGATTTTTGGAGTGTCCTGTCTGCATTATATTCGAAAATGCACCAGATAGTTGTTGCGAGCCCAAAATGTCGGACAAGTTTCATTTAATGGCGAACCTGGCAGACTGCGCGACCATTTCGCCCGACCCCCGGCCGGACGGCCCCCCCCCCCCCCCCCCCCCCCCCCCCTCCCCCCCCCCCTCGCGTAAAGCCGTTAGCGCAAGACTTGCCCACTTATTTCATGCAACTCGGCTGCATTTCTGAATTCGCAGCCGAGTTATTGAAAAAGTCGCAAGTCTTGCGGGAAACATGCAACTGGCAACTCAGTAGCGATTCTGGTCGTTTGCCACAACGGTTTTGATTTATAAGCAACTCGTCGCTTCGCCCAATCGCTCCGAAATCGCATGTTGTGCGCGGTAATAATAAGTCATGGAAGACAATGCGAAGACAAAAGACAAATGGAAAGAACGACTGCAGCAAGTCGCTTGCATTGCGCCACACACGGTGAAGGCGCGCTGACGACTCGCACAGCGGGTTGCAGAGTTGCAGTGATCGAGCCTAACCAAAAGTCAGCGGTTCTGGCTAGGCCCTTACTTACTTGGTCGATGACATCGTAGCCAGCACGCGACTGGTCGAGGCCAGAGCCTGATGAGCAGCCGATCGTTTGACGCGCAGCGAGAAGCACAGGTCGGCTGACGGGCGCGATGGTGGCTGCCGGCGAAGCGCTGCAGCTGCTGCCGCCGCGTTCACATCCCAAGGCTCGTCGCTCGTCGTCACTCAACGCACGAGCCAGCGAACGCTATGATGTTGACTGTACTGCGCGTCTGAACTGCCTGCAACGGCGGCCGATAAGCAAAACGATTAGATCTGTTATCGCTAGGGCTAGCATGTTTATGTACTTGTGTGTTTGTCGTTATGTAGCTGTACTGCAGGGGCGTTGGACTGCCTTGCACGCGGCGAAAGCACAACTGATTAGGACTGTCTTATCGCTAGCTAGTAGTATTCTATCGCTACTTTGCTGTAGTTTGTCGTTAGTAGCTGTACTGCAGGCGTCTGACTGCCTGCACGCGGCGAAAGCAAACGATTAGACTGTTTATCGCTAGCTAGTGTTCTATGTACTTGTGTGTTTGTCGTTAGTAGCTGTACTGCAGGCGTCTGACTGCCTGCACGCGGCGAAAGCAAATTGATTAGGACTGTTTTATCGCTTACGCTTAGTGTTCTATGTACTTGATGTGTTTGTCGTCTTTAAGTTACTTGCTTCCTACGCCCTCTAGTTCTATGTACCTTTGTGGTGTTAGTTCGATGTTGAAGTAGCTCCAGTAAGCTTCATTATTAGCTTATCTTGGCCCTGTGTATTGTCATCAGCCTAGCTAGTATCTCCTCTATGTGACTTGACTGTGTGTTTAGTAGCTAGTGTTCTATGTACTTGTGTGTTTGTCATTAGTAGCTAGTGTTCTATGTACTTGTGTGTTTGTCGTTAGTAGCTAGTGTTCTATGTACTTGTGTGTTTGTCATAGATAGCCTAGTGTTCTACGTACTTGTGTGTTTGTCGTTAGTAGCTAGTGTTCTATGTACTTGTGTGTTTGTCATTAGTAGCTAGTGTTTATATTACTTTGTGTGGTTTGTCGTTAGGTAGGCTAGTGTCAGACTTGTGTGCTTTAGTCGTAGTAGCTTAGTAGTTCTATTGCTACCTGTTGTGTTGATTCATAGTTAGCTAGTGTTCTATGTTTTTTTTATACTTGATGTGTTTCATTAGTAGCTTAGTGTTCTATGCTACTTGTGTGTTGTCAATTGTAGCTTTAGTTGTTGCTATTTGTACTTGTGTGTTTGTCATTAGTAGCTAGTGTTCTATGTACTTGTGTGTTTGTCATTAGTAGCTAGTGTTCTATGTACTTGTGTGTTTGTCATTAGTAGCTAGTGTTCTATGTACTTGCTGATGTTTGTCATCTAGTAGCTAGTGATTTCCTATGTACTTGTGTGTTGTCATAGTAGCTAGTGTTCTATGTACTTGTGTGTTTGTCGTTAGTAGCTGTACTGCAGGCGTCTGACTGCCTTCACGCGGGGAAGCAGACGATTAGACTGTTTTGGCGCTAGCTAGTGGTTAGAAGTGTACTTACAGGTGTTTGCAGGTGTGCCTATGTGATTACAGGTGTGTTTTCAGGTGTGCCTATGTGATTACAGGTGTTTCCAGGTGTGCCTATGTGATTACAGGTGTTTCCAGGTGTGCCTATGTGATTACAGGTGTGACTATGTGATTACCGGTGTGACTATGCCTCCTGATTACGGTGTGACTATGTACATCTTACAGGTGTGCCTATGTGATTACAGGTGTGCCTATGTGATTACAGGTGTGTCTATGTGATTACAGGTGTGTCTATGTGATTACAGGTGTGACTATGTAATTACAGGTGTGCCTATGTGATTACAGGTGCTGGCCCATTGTGCATTAACAGCGTGTGTCTATGAGAATACAGGTGTGCCCTATGTGATTACAGGTTGTGTGTTTTTCAGTGATGGTGCTCTCATGTGATACAGTGTGCCTATGTGATTTTACAGGCTTGTGGTTTTCGGTTGTCTATGTGATTACTAGGTGTTTTCCAGGTGCTGCTATGCTGAATTACAGCATGCCTTACTATGTGTTTTTCAGGGCTGTGTCTATGTCGATTATCAGGTGTTTCCAGGTGCCTGCCTAATGATGCATTACACGGTGTCTATGTGTTACAGTGTTTTCAGGTGTGCTTATTGTGAATTACAGGTGTATTCAAGTGTGCCTATGTGATTACAGGTGTTTTCAGACGAGTGCCTATGTGTTTCTCAGGTGTGTTCTATGTGATATACAGGTGGTTCCTGCGTTTTCGGCGACGTGAGCGGTGCAAGACCGCAATGCCAGTGACAACGTTGAACAGGATGATGCGCCAACTTGCTTGCCCGGGCCGCGACATTACAGGTCGTTGGGTTGAACTAGCAGGACAGGCTTCACCTCCGACTGTGACCCTAGCGACATACATCAACAATAGGAAATGAGCTGCGACGTAACAATATAGGTTGATAATTTAAATCGCGTCAATCAATAATTTTATAATATAGACAATAAATAAGGCGGATAATAACTGCATGATAAACAGTCGGATATCCGTTCATGCCAGCTCCCGTTTGTGTACGCAAATGCTGTTTTCACTAGCATTAATTGTTAGCTACGTTCATTAGTTATTTCTACAAATTGCCAACGCATTTTTTTATGCAGACCCTGCATGAGTTTATTGAACAAGCCGAGAATCGGTGTGCGCCCAGCCTGATATTTGTGTGGTTGCAATGTCTTATAACTTAATTGAATCTCAAGGTATTAGTAAGACTACTCATTATAGACTCACTCTTACACCCGACACTGGTTAGCATACTAATCAAAAAGATAGTGATTTTTAGCCACTCAGGTGGCTGCGAAGCTTAAACGTACAGACTACAGCGTCTAACCTACTTAATAAAATTGAATAAATAATACAATAGTTTATGTTATCATTAGTTTTTTAATCATTATCTCGCGCGCACCGTGCCCACTAGCTAGCGGGGCTAGTAGATTAATGCGCTTCTTCACCTCGGGATTGAATAAATTAATACAATAGTTATGTTATCATTAGTTTTTTAAGTCCTTCAGCCTTCGTATCGTTTCTTTTTAGCTTTGCTTGTCTTTCAGGTCTAAATCGTCGTACGACTCCACTCCGACCTCCGGCTGAGCAAGTAGCGAACAGCGGAGTGTACGCAAGCACGTCTGACCCTCCTGCTCGCAGGCAGATAAACATCCTGAACGTCACCAATCGCCCACTCTCCACCGACGACCGCTGGCACATTTCTCGCGCGCACGCGGCTCTCTCCGTTCGCTTGTATGTTTGACTTTGTGAAACTTGGTTTCAAAATGTGTTTAGTTAAAGAATGACTTACGAGAGTAAGTATGTATTTAGATATATTATAATTAGGCAAAAATCTAGTATCGTGAGTTCAAAGTTAAACCTCTGGCGCACACACCGCCCATAAAATTACATTAAAGATTGTATACTTACAGCAACAGGTACCT